CTTTCGAATCGTTTCTGTAATCTATACATCATTTTCGAGAATTTGTTATTGATTTGAAGTGAATTTCTTTACCAATTCAGTAAATGACCTTTCATACCATTTGTATTAGATGTATGTAACAGACCAATATGTATATCTTATGATTCTAATTCACTACGTTCAACCGAACATAAAGCATTTGTCATATGAAACTCAACACCTATGTATGGGAGTGGCCTTCGACGGCAACCATCTTATTAAAGGAAGAAGTACATGAAATACAAAGGGCACGTGCCCGATCCTTCTTCCCTTCTCCCTTCTCTTCGTCCTGAATCCGGTCCTGGCAGGCGCTAGGAATTCCCTTTCCAAAACCTTCCCTGAAGTTCGTGCCTGTCTCAAGGAAAACGGGGAAAGGTAGGGTCAACGCCTATGGAGATTTAACATTAGCGTCGGCCCCGCTTCGAACTTCAAAACAAGAAAAATACAAAAAGGTATGGATATAGGAAGCTTACATCAGGAACACTTATTTTCAGAATTCATTTTATGAGAAATGGGACCTCATTGACTTACACCTGTGTGGGTGTTAAAGGTGTGGTAATACAATTCACAATTCCTCATAGAGCATTAAATGACCCAATTACCTTAGATTTATATCATCCTCATGTGCAATATATTCCAACTGTTATTTTGATACCAAATATTACACTATTTCAAGAAAGAGGTGTTCTCTTTATTGAATGAAATGTCATTACTAATGAGAAAATTTCCCGTTTTGACACGTTAATTTACATAGTTCTAAAACCAGTCTATTTTTCATACTTGCTTGAAAGTTGGCCACTAATAATAGCTTTCAACACTAGGAATTTCAAAAAAATTGACAACCGGTAAATTTGTCATATAACACTTTTAATTCTAAAAACAAAACAAAAACATAGCTTTCTTTCCACATTTCCTTTTAGTTGTGTTTCTTCATGACCAAAGGTCATTGAGTTTTGATAATTGGCAAGTAGGTTGTTCATGTAAATGGATTTAAGTTTTGTAAACATTGATGACCTTGACATTCGTTTAAGGTCACAAAATCAAATTTGCTAGAATAATATGTTTGTATGGGGAGTCAGACAAGGATATCTTTCCTTGCTTTATTTGTTAAGAGTTAACGATATAAAATAATGTAATATTCCTTCATTGTTTTATAAATGAATGGGTAATAGGCAAAATAAAAAAATAACTAGAACTGTAAACCAAAGGTTAACTTATACCACCCGCTCCTATATAAACCAGAACTGTAAGCAAAGGGCTAACTAAGACAAAGCATTGTAAAGCAATCCATAGTCACCCATCGGTAATTATTTAAGTATATAGGTCACTGACATACTTCCTGTACTCCCTCCCAATGCCAAACATTCTTACATACCAAATTTTGTTAGCCCAGATGAACCAGTTTTGCTGAAATCATCCTAGTAGTTACGAAAGAGTTATCAAGACAAAGATTTTTAACAAAGGGCTATAACTCCTTAAAAATTGTCGAAATGAAAACATACCACCCTGATGCACGACATCAGGGGGTAATTACCATATCTGTAAACTTTCATTGAATTCGGCCCAGTAGTTTATGAGGCAGACAGAGGTTTTTTTGAACAAAGGGCCATAACTCATTTTTAAATGGTAGGAATGAAAACGTACTACTTGGATGCACAATGTCAGGGGGCAGTTGCCATATCTAAAAATTTCCTTCGAAAATGGCGCCATAGTTTTGGAGGAGCTGTCTGGACAAGTATTTTTCAACAAAGGGTCATTTCTCCGTAAAATAGGGGTCAGATTGAAAAATCAATACCTGTATGCACAACACCAGGTAGTAGTTATCATATCTTAAAACTTTCGTTGAAATTGTCCCCATGGTTTTGGAGGGCATGTCCGGACAAGGATTTTTCAACAAAGGGACATAACTTTGTAAAACAAGGGACAGCATGAAAAAAATGATACCTGCATGCAAAACTTCAGGTGGAAGTTATCATATCTGGGAACTTTTGTTGAAATTGGTGTATTACTTTTTCTACTGACAGACAGACGGACGGACAAGCTGATTCCAGTATACCCCCTAACTTCATTGCGGGGGGTATACTTAAGTGCATAATAGTTTCACAATTAAGATTATGTTATTGTTTTTATATTATTGCATATCGTTGTCTATAACGCAATCTCGGTTCTTCAGAGGAACGATTACTTTTGCTGAATACATATTCATGAGTTATTACAGTTGCACATTACTTTCAAACAAACGTTATATAATAAGGTGTTTTGGTATACTACAAAAACAGAAAATGCATCGGTATTTACCATAAAAAACATTGATAATCAAATCTCCATGAGAATGTGAAACTGGCCTTTGATCATGTTTGGCATGCTAAAAAAGTACTTTATCGGTTTTGATATTTCATAAAAATGATTCCGTAGACAGAATATATATATAGACATTTTTTTTAAAGAAGTTTAAAATATAGACTACCATTGTGACTATATATAGGCAAGTTGACAATGTTGGTTATATTTTGAATTATGTGAAAATTTTGCTATTTTTCTTATTAAATGTATCACTACGCTTACTTCATGTATACCAATATGACATATTTAGTATAAAAATAACAGTAATTGTATGCACTGTACACAATCATAATTCATTTTCAAAATAAAATTTTCCTGTGACATTTATCTGTCATTGTGTTAGGATACCCCCGTTACTCAACCTGGTGTTATACAAGGAGGTCCACTACGGTTATCAGTTCAGGGATCTACATATGGCAAAAGAATAAAAGAAATCAAAAAGGGGGCCAAATGTTGACCGCCACCTTTCATAATTCTATAATTTAACAAAAGGAATTATAATTGAACCGTTGAACCGTCGAGACTCGAATGACTATGTTCCCCTCAAACTACGTTTATTACTCTATAGATACCCGTGTCGCACCTATAACACGTGCGGTTACACGTTACCCGTCCCGCCTCAAGGGGCTACCTGTGTCACCTTGGCCTCATATCCGGACACTAGTACACCTGTACTACCTGCACTCCATACATTACGGTATACCGTGACTATAATAAATACATTTATTCAAGAAATGTATCTCTAAAACTTTTTTCAATGAAATTACAAATTATGTTTAAAGTCATAGATATTTAGGAAGGAACACATTGTGAAAGATATATTTAATATTTGTGCTGCCTGTATTGGAACATGCAAGCGAAGTATGGCGTGGCTTTTCAGTGGTATATCTTACAAAATCTGAACATTTTCAGCTTGAAGCAGCTATAGTTATTTCTCCAATCAACATGGGTTCTGTATATCTATCAACATTTTCGCCATCCAAAAGACTGGCTATGACTTTAAAATATTCTTAAGTTATTTCAACTCATTTGACATTTTGAAACATTTAGTTTTTCTTTCTGCTGCATCAAATGCTGTACGATTTATCATTTTCATATTTCATATAGAAAAGGGTTAGTGGGACTTTACGATTATCATATCCTCGGGTTACCGGTTTCCGCGTGGAAGCATCCACGATTTCGTACTCATATCGGCAGAAAACTGTTGAAATAACGGATGACTGTCATAAACATGTATACAATCTACTGATAGAAACAAAAAACTAGCAACATGAAACTGTATTGAAAAAAACCCAGAACATACGATTTTTAACAAATTTCTTCCGTCGGAGTCGGAATATTCATATATTAACACTATTTTTATATATATATCCCGGGGGCCTTTGTACATGTAGGTAGGGGACTCCCAATCACTTAGAAACCTGGGATATGTATACTTTATTTTTCTGTGATGATAATTACAGTTTTTTTTAGTTTTATATGTGATTATCTCCCTTTACTTGTAATATAATATGTTATTGTTATTTTTATATATGTTTATTGCAATAATAGCTCTCAAGAGCCAATGTTCCTTGTTTACCTGTATGCGACGTTAAATAAAGTTTCTTGTATCTTGTCGGAAATAGCCGTCATATGTTTCCGTGTGTCTATTTTGATTTAGTGTTCAAAGAGAGATAACTCGAATACACTAAAAGAAATTATCTACGGTGACCTGCAAGAACAAAAGCTTCGTTTGGAATAAAAAAAATATCTTTGATCGTCAAATTAATTATAAAAACAACTGTTTTTTACATTTTACAATTTTTTTTTATTGATTTTTCAAGATGTCAAATTGAACGAATTCATGTAATTTTGTTAAATTTAATTATTATATTTATTTAGTTTTAATATAGAATCTGTTAATTATTTTTTTCTGCAGTTTTATATCGGTTTTGGTTGATGGTAAGTTATTTCTTATTTGATTCTGTTTAAAATTGGTGAAAATTGGAAGTTCATTGCATTAAAAGGTTTACGTTTCATTGAAAATACTGTTTATCGATATATGAATGTCTCCTTGGCTCTTCGGAAGTGGAAAAAATCGACGAGAAGATGTGGCCTGATTTGCATACGACATTTTCGTACGTTTGTCAGACTGCATAAAAGGCCGGTTCATGAATGAAATATATCACCGTTTTTTCAGGTATGGGCTCATTTTGAGCAAGATAAAAAGTGCATTAAGCAAAACTGCATATTCATGCGTGTTTTTTACTCAGTGATTAATTCTTATGTTTTCCGGACGAACTTCCGGTAATTTTTATGTCAGTTTACAGACGATGGCCAAACGTCTAAAATATCCTTGTGTTGTGTCCAGCAGGTCACGTAGTTACTAGATATAGCTTGATAAACCAACATGGAGCGAGGAGACACTGACACCAAAACAATACGAAGCAAAAGACACCAGAACAACAATAAGCGAAGAGACAGTATTTTCCGTATCGATAAGAACACTGGAAGAGCATTTAGATCCATGAAAACCGATACAAATGTAACATAAGAATAAGGACTGATGTACTAACCTAGATTACATGTGAATGAAATGTGACGCGTCACCAAGTACAGCTGTATCAGCGTATGTTGTTTCCCACGGATCAACTCTAGCTGATAACAACATGCTAATAAAAGACTTCGACAGATCTTTCTTTTTATCAAGTCAGCAAAGATGATCTCACAAAGTACGGTCGTGTTGGTGATCTGCTCCCTAGGGAGTTTTGTCCTTGGACACCCAGGGTTCATGGACCTGATCCCTAACGGTCACATGGTGCCAAATCCGTGCCCAAATAATAGCAGCTATCCCTGGCACGGAGTAGGACACAACAACCGCACAGGCGGAGGTATCGCTAACGTGTTCGGTGCTGTAAGTATACAATTTTGTTGTATGGTTAGTAACTTGTCGTTGATGCATTTTTTTGTCGATATGATTTCTAGAAATTTCTAACGCTTAAGTATGAGAAAGAGGGTTCTAGATGCCTGTATTGTAAAAAAAACTTTCGTTAAAAAGCAAACTTTGTGGGGACATTTGTGGAAGTGGATCGTTAACTCGCAATGCAGGCAAACAAATTAATGTAGGACCATGGATATGTTTATCCTTAAAAATTTCATCACACAATTGCAGTAAGCTGTCGATATTTGATTGGTTTCAAATCGCAACAACTGGTGAATTCTATTTAGTATAATGTTGCCGGAAGGAATAAAGTGGTTGTGGTCTTCAGTATGGTGAATTCAAAAGTCGATATCATATCCTTTTTATCTATAGCCCGGAGGCAAATACACATGGAACACACTGTACACGCATGCATTACACACATGGATGCACGTTAATAAACGATAGAAGCTGTTGCAATTACGTTTCATCCAATAAAACAAAGCCAAATGAAACCAATATGTAGACGAGGGAAACCAACAGAAACAAGTGATGGATTATCTTACGAGGATTCGAGACTTCAACCATTGTTCGTTTTGATGTTATAATGGACAGATACATTGCGTTTGCCAGCATGAGGAGATTATATAGGATGATTCAGTTACACAGCGTAGTAGTACATTATGTATGAGATAAAAGAAAATATCCCAAACTACCGTTTTTAGTGTGAAATTACTCATTACATATGTTGTGCTATGAATACACTACTCATTACATATGTTGTGCTATGAATACACGGTTACTCGTCTGTAATAGACTAAGGGTTCCTTTTTTTTTTTTTTTGATATTGATGATATTACTCCAAAGAATTAAAAAAAAAACATAAGAAGAAAAGTTGTCGATATTTTACACTTCAGAAATTCGTTTTCATTTTCTTTTTCTACAAATTTCGGAATTTTATAAGCTTTATCATACATTCGTTTTCATGGCATAATGGCTTTCTTTGTCAGGAACTTTTTATTTTAGTTTAATACAGTTTGATCAAAAATATTTGGACTCTTATATGAAACGAAAACGAATGTGAAATCCTTCATATATTATGATCGTTATTTAAGGACTTTCTGACGGCAAACATGACATGGACAAAGGCCTTTTGTATGGCTGATTCCGACATTGATGGCAAGACTAACGGCTTTGAACTCGGTGACCCCGACTGCAAGTGGGTTCAAGGTGGACCTCCAGCAGGCAAGCCATTCTCACATCCAGGTTAGCTAATTAACCGATTTCTTAGTAAATAAACGTTTTTAAAAAAGCTCATTGCTATTCCTCAAATGATCACCAGAATGAATGTGTTTAACGTCAGCAGTGCTGGTCTAAGGTTGATATATAAGAGAAATCTTTGAACAGTTAATTGTAATACATATGTGGGTAAAATCTTTACATATACATGTACATTTAGCTTTACATATCTTTTTCTAAATTTTATGTTCTTTTTAATTTTAAGGTGTTTGTGAACCAATGACAAGTAAAACCTGTATTGCTGTTAATTTGAATATTAGATGTATCTAACTTATGACGTCATTAAACTTTGTTTTATATCGTTGCATTGTTGTTTTCTTTCCTGGTCATGCGTCTAGGTGATTTTCATGACATTTATTCTGCATCATGTGATAGTTTGTAGTGGCAAAAGTAATAATGTTCTAATCATTATTGTTGAAGTGATGTAAAAATAGAGGATACCATTTTGTTTCCTGTTGAAAACCATAACATGTTATATATTTCACGACGCAAGGTTCAAAATATCGCTCTTCTCTACCATACTTTTGAATTATATATGGTATTTAGTGACAAAACCATTAAACGTATTATTTCTTAAAATTTATAAAATGTTACACGACTCAAAATCTATTGCTGTATCAGAAAGATGCGGGAATTTGTTGCGTTTTGACGCCAGGTTTTTATGACGTCACTATTAACAACATGGCTGAGAGCCATTTTTAATGAGTTACTTAGCGCAATCCTGCTATTATGTGGGATGACTTCAAAACAAAAATAATATAAATTGTGTAGTTATGTAAATACCATACTGTGTGTTGCAAAGGTGTAACAAAACAACCACTTATTTTATCGCCATTTTATCGGAACTTAAAACTGAAAATATACGCGGTAAATGATTAGAAAGTACCGTTCTAAATGGATTATGCTGAAAATTTTATCTGAACTGCAGTTTAGAAATAAGATTTTAAGAAATGGGTAATTCCCGATATTTCACCTTTTCAAACGTAATGACGTTACGCGCGATGTTGGTGACACCGCGTCAAAACACGCATGGCGCCCGCTGAAAGTATCGCTGTATTAAAGAGTTTTCAGAACTTTATGTCATATTATATATCACAGAAAACGCTTTTTCAAGCTCATTCGTCTTACGCTATTCATGAAAAGTATAACACAAAATTAAGAGTTCTGTTTCACATTAACAACCTCGAAAACGTCACAATAACTCGTGTATCGCGTAACATCTACGGGGAAAGACATTTCAAAGAAGTTCCATAAATTCGTGCCAAAAGTATGCAGAAATGACGTCACAAATGACGTCAAAAGTTTCATTGGGATCAGTGATCGGCATATTTACTAAAATCTTCTCCAAACAGTTATTAACATATTGTAACGCTTACCCAACAGGGAGGTTGGCATGAATCTATCGTGTTGACAGGAGGATATTTTCAGATATTTAAGAGATATATGAGTTATATCTGAAATGTGTCTTTGTCGAAATTATCATACAAAGAAAATTATTTATCAGAAAGAACGTTTTCTTGTAAAACAGGCAAAATTAAAAATCCCGAAATTTGTCCAGCAGTTGTTTTTGACGTACATTTTGCATACATTGAAACTTTGATGACTTATAATATTGAATTACGAATTATAAAATGAAACAATTTTGTCCTAATTTCTTAATTTTATGAAGGGATCAATAATGAAAAAAAACCGCACTACACTTTTCAATTTCCGTCAAATGTCCCACTAATGCGACGTTACGGGAATAATATTGCGCAACATTTAGAGTGCCAAATATCAGTAGAAATTGTGAAGCCATTTTATTATTTAGAATTAATGTTTAGAAACACTACGTGGATAAACTTATAAATAGAATTGTAGAAATATAGTAAAAATAACAAATATCGGACGTTGATACAGCAAAATTCTAAAGGTGGACAACCGACTCGTTCTGAAACAATGGAAAGTAATTTGAAAATATAACCCCGTCCCTACAACCACATCTATCTTCCCGTCCTTATTCCAGACAATTTTTAAACTTTATTTATTTCACGACAATAATGAAAAATGTTTATCAGCTCACGTTGATCATTTTTCTTTGTCTGCACAGTAGCGTACAAAATAATGCAAAATATGATAAAACGTCTAAAAGCGACGTCAAAAATGAAAAAAATGATGTCATTTTACGTTACACAAGGTATCACCAACATCGCGCGTAACGTCAATACATATTTATATCAGCACGCCAACGTTATACAACCATACAGGACTAACAAAATAGCAATATATTTTCATTGGTAATTTTCTCGTGTTTTTAATGAGTGGAAAGACGATTGCTAATTTAATTTAAAAAGTCACTTAAATACTTTTTCAGACACCATGAATAAGGAATACAATCGGTTGTAGTCCTTATGTGTTTTGTACGAAAAGTACTCTTCGCTAAAAAATAATTTTCTGTAAGTGTTAAAAACAATCTCACGACTGGCAAAAAAGTGGTAGGAAAAGCCAACAAAAGAAAAGGATATCCAGGTACATTTGTGTGTACTTTGGTGTTACAGTGGAGCTGATCTAGTAAGTTCATTTTTTTTTCATTTTTACATTTGGTTTGTTTATTTTTGTCAAAATATTCATATATGACAACAACAACAAAATTTAAAAAACAAAACAAAAAAACCCAGCCAAAAACAAACAAACAAACAAACAAAAACACCAAAAATCCCAAAACTTCAAACAAAAATAAACCAAAACAAAGCAAAAACAAAAATTTCAGTTTACATTTGTAATACATTCTCTGTCTGAAATGTTACCCGTGTACACATTGGCGTATTAATGTAAACTATATTTCATTTCTTTTGCGTTTATAGTATAATTCAATGCAAAGCATAGTTGTTTAAATAGAATTTGGAAACAAGTTTTACAACTTATATTTACATCCATCCTCTAATTCATTAGCGTAATGAAGCGTTGCTCCGCAGAACCATCAGAATTTTCCTACGCACTGTTAGCAAAACATGTCAAAGTCTATATCAACCTTGACAGACTGACATCATTGCAACACTTGAGACATATTACCAAAGATATGCTGTCGATACAATATACATAACTACAGGAGGCGAGGAGATACAAAAACACTGTAAACGTACGTATTTTAGAACACTCAACTTTTAGCGCATTACCGAATTTTAGGAGATAAACACATCGAAAAATTGGCGCATCTTGACAAAATGCAATATAGAGAACAGCATACTAAAAATTCAATTCGTTCATTCATAATTTAACGTAATAATTAAAGCACAAAAACGCTTTAAAAAGACTACCGATAAAATTGGTACACTTACAGCAATTAAAAGCGAGAAGACACTTAAAAACAGAATTGAAGAGACATCAGAACAACAGGAAGCGCGGAAATACGAAAACAACAAGGATAGAGGAGACGCCAAAATAACAGGAAGCAACGATACACATCAGGAAAGAACAAAAAATATCATCTAACGAATGGAATTGTCGCGGCAAAAGAAAGATATTTAAATGCAGATCTTTCTTTAGCTGACCAAGCAAAGTTGTTTCAAATATTATTCCCAAGGGAACAACATGTGACGCGTCACCTAGATTTTGTGTATGTTCGTTCCCATGAAACGTTCGAATTGTTCAACTCTCACTGATAACACCACACAAAGGACTACGTCAGACCTTTCTTTTCATCAAGTCAGCAAAGATGATCTCACAAAGTACGGTTGTGTTGGTGATCTGTTCCCTTGGGGGTCTTGCCCTTGGGCACCCAAGGTTCATGAAACTGATCCCTAACGGTCACATGGTGCCAAATCCATGCTCCAATAGCAGCCATCCTTGGCACGGCGTAGGACACAACAACCGCACAGGCGGAGGTATCGTAAATGTGTTCGGTGCTGTAAGTATATACATCTTTATTACAACTTCCAGTGAAAATCCTGTCATCTGATTGGTCAAGACAAATTGTTTATTTCACACTGTCACATTCGCTTTAACATTGAGTCAATGGAATAAACATCAACACGACGGACATTTGAACCGAAATGAGACTGATAGCATACTGATAGCATACTGATAGCATACCTTTATTGCTTACAGAAAAACCTTGGTACTTATTTACTCGAGAGCAAGAGTGTTTAACGAGGGCGATACAACAATATTCACTATACAACACCTTACGCGCCATTGATTTTGTATCTGTCTTTCTTTTTTCTCAATTGTGATGTATCTTATTTATATTAAGAGAGATCCCGAATGAAGGAAACGTGGGAGGAAACATTAGTCTATGTAATAAATATAATGATGTATTCGTTTCATGTCATAATAGATTTGCTGGTCAAGAGATTTTCAGTTTAGCTCAACGAGGTTCAATAAATCGAAAAATTCCAGATGGAATACGATATCATTTTCGATACTCCAGATCGAGTGTACGCTCATGTCATAGCACAATCGAAGGCACCCGGCTGGCTAGTTTATTGAGGTAAGAAAACCTGACAAATTGTTAGGATGATACATGTCCTTTGGTGATTATAGAGGGGCGACACCCGACTTCAAAGCCTGTCGATTGTTACCGTTACGTGACCGCGATATTCTTTTGATGTACATCATAAGATCGAACGAACCTTCTTGTCTTATAAACATGGTGGCGCACACTCGGCCTAGGATTAAACGAGTCTTGCCTTCTTGTTTCTTCGATTTTGTAATGACATATTCCATTGAGTGCAGAGGACGAAATTGAGCGTGACCTCTCGAGTATCGAGGATGATACGATTTCAAAACTAATGTAACGTCCTCTATTTATCAGGATTGTAATTTTAGGACTTTCTGAAGGCCAACATGACCTGGACACGAGATCTGTGTTTGGCTGATTCTGACATTGACGGCAATTCGAATGGCTATGAACTTGGTGACCCCGATTGCGAGTGGGTCGAAGGTGGGACCCCTGAAACCTTGGCAGTATCTCACCCAGGTAAGTTAATTCACTGCTGGATTTTTTTACACACAAACTTAAATTATTAACGGTGAGGAATATGTCGCGCTGACAGTGCTTGTTTAAGTGTAATATTTAACAGTTTCTTGAAGACATAGATAAAATTTAAAAGAAAAATATACACTGTATTTCTTTTTGCAGTATATTGTAACTAAGGCAAAATGTGATGTTTCTCGATCATCTATGGTTATATAGTTTAGACAGACAATGAACATGGAAATCAAAACGTACCATGTCTATATTACAACATACAAAGATAAAATGAAGGTCTTGATATGTTTATATAAATATCGTTTTGTACTGTTGTGGTTCTCTAACCATGTTTGATATAGTTGATATGGAATTGTTATTCAAAAGGACATGGAAAACATTCAGAAAAATGACATGAGTCTTACAGCCTGTCACTAACAAGCTATCGGGAGTTAATTTGGGTTTCAGGCATGTGTAAACCAATTGGTTGTTATACATATATTACCGGCATTATTGTTGATATATGTTCTGTGTTTGTTTCAGGAGTGTGTGAACCAATGACAACCAAAACCTGTATCGCTGTTAATTTGAATATAAGATGTATCTAGCTTGTGACGTCATAAAATAGGATTTTGTTTCGTTGTGTTTATGTATTGTTCACTCCGAGTTATCGACCTTGGTGATTTTCAAGACGGTACAGTTGCATTTTATAATAGTGAGTTTGCTACAGTGATCATTCACAATGAAATATATGAGCCCGTCAACATAAGGCCGCCAACAAATGTATGTATGTCCCAACTATCCCGACCGAGCCTCGTGTTTGCCTCTGTCGATCCTACACTTAAAAATCCCATTCGAATGTGCAAGGTATGGTAAGCGTCCTTATCACATAACTGACCCAGTTTACTATGTCACACGACCATGTCATAGATATGGTATTACACACGTGTAATAAAACCTAGAGGTGTTCCGACTGGTTAAAACCGTGGGAACAAATTCCTACGCCACTACAGGTACTACTTTTATTTACCCTACCACATGATACACCGACTGTTATTTTAAATGAAACTGAAATGGTTATTTTTTCCATTAGTATACTTTGCACTACGCGGAACGACAATACTGTAACCGGAGTACTTTGGTTGTTACCTATATTGAGTCAACTGATAACACATAATTGTGTTTGAAGGTGTTTTTTTCCTTTCAAAATATGAATGTTATTTGATAGATAGAATCTTGTATTCGTATCAATGTCATATTGAAATTATTGAACGAGTCTGACATTGGCACTCATGTTCATGTAAGTTTCATAGACAGGTATCAGAACCAAATTAAAACCCCATATAGCTAATTAGAAGACCTAAAAATAATGAAAAATGAATACAATTGGTCTGAATAACTCCTCATGGACCTGCCCTATTTTTGCTGTCACGTTACCTGAAACATACATATTTTTGTTTTGGCCTAATCCGACTTTATAGTGCTAAAATTCCCACCGATAACATAATACAAGACTACAACATATATTTGTCAATGTTGACTGTCAATATATAGATACCGGAGCACAATTGAACGCTTGTTGATGGACTATTCAGAATTATTGAACTGTACTACAAGTTTCGTTGCTTTTAACAAAATTTGAAAATTCGTGGCCAAAATCCTTAACTTATCAGTAAAATGATTTCCCAACGTAGAGCCGTGTTGATTATCTGACCCGATAGTATACAGCCATGTGTTAGGGTTCGTGACCTGATGTATATTCATGTTTTTGATTAGCTTAATTTTGTCTTGAGCACTGTGAGAGAACAAATCCGTAAAACAATTATAATTGAAAATTGGACATTAAAAGACAATAAAAGACACACTCGCCTTTCAGCAAGGCGACCGGGGTTCGACTTCACGATCGGGCGTGAAAAGGTATGGGGTCACCGGCCCGACCACGTGGATTTTCTTCACAGGTTGTAAAATAGAGAAGGTTAAAATTATACAATAAAAGCTGAGTATTAAAGGTTGCTTATTGCTTTTTATCTTCTGTTTTTGTTTTATTTTTCTGCTGTTATGTTTCTCTTTTCTATAGTTACATGTAACTTTCATGAGGCGAAAAGACGACATATCCAAAAATATGTAAAATCATAATTTATAATGTATCTATTTTATACTCGATCAAAGAAAACATATTGATATTAGTATTTACTCCGCCAAACAATATATAAATATGTTATACAATATAATATCATAAACTCAAAAGTTATCATAAACTCAACCAGTTAATACATAATTATATGTATATGTAACTATATCATTTTGCAATTTTTTGTTTTTGTATTGTTTAACAGCCCATCGACAATATGAGTCATTTAGGGCCTACAATACTGTAAAAAGACACATTTACGAATATATACACACCAAATCAAAAATTAATAGCTTAAAATATGTAAAGGATTAAAGAAATACATCAGTATCGAACAAATTGGCAGCACAATATATCATATTTTATTGTAAAGATCAATAGAGTGTAAATAGTTATATATTAATTGCACAGAAACTGTATCGAATAATCTTTTCATAGACGGTACATCATACAATCTATCACGTATTTGTTTGAAATCGGCGCATTCAATCATAAAGTGTTTAACTGGAAATGGATGTTCGCATTCATGACAATAAGGCTTGTCTTCTCTACGCAAAATGCAGCCATGTGTAATGTAGGGACAATTTTCTCTCTGCGGTCTGCTCTACTTGTTGCACATGAACTCACATTAGGTTGGATTGCAAATAACTTACTGTTAAATTATTCAGACCATTTATTTTGCCAATTCGTTACAAGAGGTTTAAAATTAGAAAAAGGCAGTTTAATATCTGTTGGTTGTAGGTTAAGGGCTGCTTTAGCAGCTCTATCTACCTTCTCATTTCCGTTTATTCCGACATGACCTGGTATCCAAATCAAGATCAGGTGACAAAACAATAAAATTCTGTAATACGAAGGGCGATGTTTTCAAATACACAACTGAACCAAAACTGAACAATAATGCATCATTTACTCAAAAGTATGTACAGTTTGTATTTATTACATACAGAACAAAAAACAATACAAATAGTATACAATTTGTATTTCGATTACCAGACGGTTCCTCTATTTCTCCGCGGAAGCTTGTGCCATCGGTTTGGCCATTGACCATATATCGATGAACACCGCGTTGAAAAGGCAATCGTCTATTATGGCTCTCTATCTGCAGTTACGAGATCCCCCCAAATACTCTTAAACAAAACATCTCTATCCGCATATCTTGCATCTTAAAGAAATGCTAAACAATTCTTCTATGGATTCTGAGGCTCGTCGTAATAAATGGTAATGAGAATGCTAACAGAACAGCTAAACATGCATTAACCTCCTAGCAAACCAATAATGTCACATGAATATTTCAAACCCAGTATATGATCGGCCATTCAAAGTGAATGGCAGTAACGATGGACTTTTGAGACCAACAACAAACTTTTTAAAGTGCAATCAAAACTTAAACCTTGTCTACTCGGTCGGAAGACTGCGGGATCTAGAGGGGGGTGTCCTCTCTCGACTCCGTACTGGTCATACTTACATCACTGATGCTTATCTGCTAAATAGGGGCGATCTAACCTAGAATAGGATGTGTACCATGGGTCTGACCTCACCCCTTGGGACTTAGTCGAAATGTAATTACCCGGGACCAGCACCATATATTTATATTTATCAATGGTACGGTATCACTGGGGTTACGTAGGTGCTAGAGTACCTGTGTATGTAGGGGTAAGGCGTGGAGTCTAACGTACACGGTGAATTACGTGTTGCACGTGAATTACCTGGGGTAGGGGGTTGTCATATACAGGGTGTATAGGGGGTAGTGTCATTCGAGCTGTTGCAGCCAGACAGTGCGCTTGTGGTATTTACCTACGTTTCCTGGTTAGCTTGCTAATTTGGTCTTTACCGATTATGAGCGAAGAAACGACCCCCCCCCCCCTCTGAACAGTTGTAGTACTGGGGCCCCTTCTCCCCCTACAGTGGGTCAGAACACGGGAGGCGTGGAGGCTTTTGAGGCCTTTTCATTGTTCAGGCAATATTTGGACAATAAACTAGATTCCTTTAGAGCGGATTTGGGAGAAGGAGAGACAAAACCTAAAAAACCTAAGTCGGACAAATCTGTGAAGTTTAAGTCCCAAGGGAATAGGATTCAATTCCAATTTAACGAGGAATTGGAGGCGGATGTGGTCAAGTTACAGAAAAAACTTGATAAACGTGACTTTGACAGCTGCGTTGAGTTGGCCGCGAACCTGAGAGTTACATTGTATAAGAGAAACAAGTTGATACGACTTGCTGACAAGTCGCCCGCTGGCTGGCAAACTGTGAAGGAATACGTGTCCGACGATCTCGCTTCTGACAGTGAGGACAAGAAACGTATTAGACAGGCGGAACAGAGGGCATTGAGGAGTATAAAACTTAAACATGGTTCTAGTAAACGTAGTTCTTCGGCTGTTTTTAACAACAGTGGTAATACAGCTACACGTTACGCCTCTCCCCCCGCAGCCGCGGGGTCTGCGCCTTTTCGTGGAGGACCCTATAACTACGGAGTCACTGCCC